CTGTGTAAATATTCGTGAAGACATAGCAGAGAGTATGAATGAATATGTATGTAGTGAATGTAGGTCACAGAAAGAAGAAAGAGATGAAGAATTGTATTGTATATGTAGACAGCCATATGATGAATCGCAGTAAGTAGCGCCCTCACACTAACATTTTATCTTTTTAGCTCCACTGTTGACTTTGTCGAGCGGAGCTTATCATATGAGTGATTGTCCGTCGTCGTCCGTGTCAATGTTTTACTTCTTCTTGAAAACTACAAGCCTGAATGCTTTGATACTTGGATACTTGGCCTCTCTTAGATTTGTTCATTCCATGATGATATCTTCAGTTCTCTAATTTTGTAAAAAGTGATATTCTCGACTTAAAAACCACAAGTCCGATTGCTTTGATATTAAATATATACCGTAAAAATCATATTTGAGGCCGCAGCTTTAAGGTAGAGATGCAGGTTCGTGGGCACTCAGAGTGAATTTTTTTTTTTTTTTGCTTTTTCTTACCCAGACAGTCTTGGTTAGATAGTGTTAAAATTTCGGAGCATTGTCATTGTTCGAACATTCTCAAAAATCAATTTTAAAATATAGGGAACCGAGGCACGCGTATGTGATTAAAAGTCCAGAAAGTTTGTTTGCGTTGCTCTTTGATTGACAAGTCACTGTTGATGTTATATGCAAATGATTGCTGGCCTCAGTTACGGAGCAGCCGGTGTGCGACTTCCTGTCCTGGCTCTCTGTTTTCTTACCTCAAGCGCGATCAACTAGCAAACTACAAAAACAGACAAGACGTAGACGCTTCCAGCATGCAAGCGGAATGAAACAAAGCAGACACTTGTAACTGATAAGTAAACTTTTTCACCCTTAAATAAATTGATTTTTCATGTAGGAGGTAGCATCGATAGGACGATTTAATTTTCGCGCAAAACAAGTCCACAATTTCTTTTGTTTTCTTGGTGCATAGATTTCAAGCTTTTTCGCATTGTGGGTGAAACTAAAAAATGTTTCCACACATTTTTACTCCAACGGCATTTTAACACTGAACATTTTTCGTTCCGCTGTGACGATTATCGTGCTGATAGAATTGCGATGCAATTGACAAACAACACAGCTGTTGCTGTCATCGATAACTAACTTTTCAGTGTCAAAATACACAAACATAAAATGCTCGGTTAATTAAAAATAAAAAAAATGCCCTGGAATTACCGAAAAATCGGCAATGAGATGCTGTTTTTAAACACCGCGGAAAAATCATGCATTCTGCGATGCCATCTTGGTTACCTTAATCGGAAACCCCCTTGTCAGCTAGCATGCACCGGTAGCGATGTCACAAACTACGTTGTATGGTCGTGATCGGCGACTTCTGGTACTAAGGAACTCTATGAATGAGGTATTTCCAGAGGTCAGGGTTCGTTTAATTTGCATCGACCTGTCTCGTCTGTAGTTGAATGAAACCTGCCTCTATTTACAATAGTTCCCCTTCCAATGTGACTTCATTTCGAATTTGTTTCACCGGCGTTTGGGTGATCGAGTAGTAAAAACTGCGAATAGCTGTTGTGTAGTAAAATATTAGGGCCCATTTCAACCTGGTCGTCTAACTTCGCATGGTCCACGGAAACTGCGTCATACAAAGTATTTTTTTAAAGGTTTGAGGCGCCTGTGGTTTGAGGGAAGGTAAATTTAGACTCAATCCACCCAATGGCGATCGCTATGTTTATATAACTGTATGAATATCTGATCGGCTTTACGTAATCCATTGTATCCCTCCCTCAGTGGAATTGATAACACGACGCCATGACAGTTTTCACGCAAGGTTGAGACTTCGCGGACGATTTTTCGTCCGTTTTCCTCAAATTGTAAATATTTTTATTTTATTTTTTTACCTGACGATTTAACATCAGCAAATTATGGTGTATGGTGTATTTCTAGGAGTTTCTGTTACACATAAGAAGCGAATGATTCGTTTTAAAACTTTTTTTTTACAAAATGGCGATTATCTCAGTTTCATTTTTTACTCAAAATTTCAACTTTAAAACTATTTAACTTCTAAACGGTTCATTTGTTCTCAATGAAATTTTCAGGGGTCATTATTCAGGTCTATCCTAAGTAAATGGCTTCGTATGGTTTCACTGTCTTTACTGGAACAGAAACAATAGAGCTGCCAATTAGCGGCTCTGTTAACTGTGAACAATTTATAAAATGTGAATGTTTCAAAGAGCACTGTGTAAAAACTTTTCAACGGAAGCACTAATAAATAAGCCATTATGTTCCTAATAAACAGAAGTTTTAAATAAGTGTTCTTAAATTAAAATCAGGGTATGCATTCAAAAGTTAAATAGTTTTAAGTGCACTTTCACCTAAAATGCATGATTTTAACCCAAAATCAACACCACTTAATATTGTATCATAGTACATTATTGTAAACCATACAACTCGAAAGTTTAAATAAAACTCTTTCAAATGATATATAACTTGATGGGTAAAAAGTATATTTTACTCATGTAATTACAGTAATTAGAGCCAATTAGAAATATAGTCTCCCAACCTGCATCTCTACCTTAATAGAAGCCGCACCCCTAACTTGAAACATTGTTTCATGTTGAAATTGACAAGTTTTGGTTCCAGGAAAAAGCCTGCAATATAAGCCGCACCCCAAACTTTCACAAACCAAACAGCCACCACATATTTTAGAAAAAGATATACCATTCAATTTTAAATTAAGGCATAATTTTTCAAACATTTCAATGATTCCTGACGCTTAGATTATAGTATAATTTAGGTTTTCCATAGTCATTGACGCTTATTCCAGAGTACAGTATTTATTGTGAGTAGCGTGAATGGGTAAACTGCATTATCGACAATGAGCTGTTATTATCGTCATAAGTGTAAATTCTTCTTCAATGCTCAGCTTATCTTTTGAAAACAACTAATTTCTTGATTTAAAAAAAAAATCGTGCCGTTTTCCCATCAAAATCAAAGACAAATGATCGCACTACAACAACGGTAAATCTCTTCCGTGTTTCGTTTACCATGAGGTCGCTGAACTACATTAACATATTTAAATGAGCTATGGTAATTTAATCACGTTGGCACCATCCAGCGTTTCGATTGGTTAATTAGCGACTTGACCTATCAGGTCAAAAAACAGTTTCAAGTCACTAAAGAATCAGTTTTAACAAACATGGCGGATATCGTATCGGATCGAGCGTTTATATGTGACCGAAATCATTCGCTTGCGGTGAAACTAAGTTGAATTTTTACAACAATTCAACGAATTTATTTTTTGTACGTTATTGTAATCACTACTGAGTAATAATCAGCAATTGTTACACTTTGAAAACAAGTAAGTTATTCACTTGTGTGAAATGCAGCATGACCGTTACCGTGATCATTTGCTACTAAGAATGCATTCGTTTTTTTCTTTTTACTTCTTTTTGAATATACTTTTCGTTATCAAAAAAAATAAGAAAATAAATATATATTACATTAAATAATATACTGACTCAGAGTATTTTTTTGTTATCATGCAAACATTTTTTTTTGATAGACTTTTTTTATTTTTTTATTTTAATTTCCCCGATGTCTAAATTAAACATGGAATGTACAGTCACTCTGCCGGAAGTCGAACATGCCAGTAGTCGAACGCAATCGACTGTGTCAGACGGCTGTCTCTCAGTTGTGACCTATACCAGTGCTAACGAATTAGTCTATTCAAGAGATTGTAGTATACAGTACCGTAATCTGCAAATGCATACAAATCTATTTGTAGATATTATTTATTGTGCAGTATGTTATACAGTGTGAAATTTTGTTTGTGTACAAGTTTGTCTATGTGTAAAAATTCTAAAGTGCGCTTAGAATCGCAACAAAGTTGCAATCGAGTGTTGTGCATCTCATTAGCATATCATTATCCCTTCTGGCCTCTGTTTTTTGAAAAAAATTCCCACTGTTACCGAAGTGAATACTCTAATTAAAGCCGCATCTGAATTCGTCCATTGAAAAAATGAATTTTAATTAAAGCTGCGGCCTCAATTAGGAATTTTACGGTAGCAACTACAGTGTACATGTGTACCTCTCTCAGATTTGTTCATTTCGTGATGATATCTTAAATTCTCTAATTTTGATGAATATTTTTGTCATTTTTGGTAAAAAGTGATATTTTCGTCTTCTTGTTAAAAATCGCAAGTCCTATTGCTAATACATACTATACATATTGTTCATTTTCTAATGATATCTTCTGTTCTTTAATTGAAATGTGCATTGCTAACAGCAGAGCTATCTCAGCCGAGAGGCTGCATGTTCATTTTCTAATGATATCTTCAGTTCTTAATTGAAATGTGCATTGCTAACAGCGGAGCTATCTCAGCCGACAGGCTGCTTGTTTATATGCATGCTATGTTGCTGTGTAATATAAGGAAAAATATAATTCATGATTATAATAATAAAGTTCATATATCAAAACAATCTGATAACCCACTATGTTTATCAATATCTCAACATTCAATATAACTGAGAGACACCAGAGTCTGATGGTTATTGTCATCTCTGTAAACTTGAACCATCAGATTTTACATCGGCTGTGATAGATGTCAAGACTGGTTCCATGGAAGATGTGTTGGTATATCACAGACAGAAGCTGATAACATTGAGAAGTATCTCTGTCCAAATTGTCAGTCTTCTAAAGTTCAGAAAAGCAATACCAAAGATCTGACCAACAGGGATTATGACCAGTTAAGACGATTATTACGACAATTACAGGTCAGTGCTAATTTATTTAATACTGTATTGTGGATTTTGTTTTGCTTCCAGTCTTCACGGAAAATTGAAAAATGATGGCGACGCATTTTTAGCTCCGCTGTCGACTATGTCAAGTGGAGCTTATCATATAAGTGATTGTCTGTTGCCGTCCGTGTCAACTTTTTAGCTCCTCTGTTGGCTTAATCGAGTGGAGCTTATCATATGAGTCTGTATCAATGATTTACTTTTTCGACTTATTCATGAAAACTACAATCCTGAATGCTTTGATACTTGGTGTATATGTACCTTGGGTAGACCTCTCTTAGATTTGTTCATTTCGTGATGATATTTTCAATTCTCTAATTTTGGTGAATATTTTTGGTAAAAAGTAATATTTTTGAATTCTTGTTGGAAAAAGTCTGGTTGCTTTGATACTATACATATTGTTCATTTTCTAATGATATCTTCTGTTCTTTAATTGAAATGTGCATTGCTAACAGCGGAGCTATCTCAGCCGACAGGCTGCTTGTTACATTTTCGACTTCTTCTTGAAAACTACAATTCTTATTGCTTTGATACTTGGTGTATATGTACCTTGGGAAAACCTCTCTTAGATTTGTTCATGGTGATGATTTCATGATAATATCTTGATGAATATTTTTTGTAATTTTTGGTGAAAGTGATATTTTCAACTTCTTGTTAAAAACCAAAAGTTCAATTGCTTTGATATTACATATATAGGTACTACAGATAGACCTCTCTCAGATTTGTTCATTTTGTAATGATATCTTTAATTCTCTAATTTTGATGAATATTTTTGGTAAAAAGTGATATTTTCGACTTCTTGTTGAAAACAGAAAGTCTGATGGCTTTGATACAATGTACTATACATATTGTTCATTTTCTAATGATATCTTCTGTTCTTTAATTGAAATGTGCATTGCTAACAGCGTAGCTATCTCAGCTGACAGGCTGCTTGTTTATTTTTGTTTTAAGACTGCAATTTATTGCCATGACAATATGTATTAAATAATGCTTTTGAATACATACCTTGATATAAAACAGCATAACTTACTCAGAAACATACGATCATTTTCTAATTCTGCTTTACCAATACACAAATGTGTGAGGCACAGGTATTAAACTCACACACACAGTGATTACACTTGTCAACAACAATATAATGTATGTACTATTGTAAATTTTTTACAGAGTCATAAGATGGCATGGCCATTCTTAGATCCTGTCAGTGAAATAGATGCACCTGACTATTATAGAGTAATTAAGGAACCAATGGGTAAGTCAACAATCCTGCCTTTTACTTCAACTCTCACTGTATAGGATATAGTATTATAAACACCTCACTGTATAGGATATAGTATTATAAACACCTCACTGTATAGGATATAGTATTATAAACACCTCACTGTATAGGATATAGTATTATAAACACCTCACTGTATAGGATATAGTATTATAAACACCTCACTGTATAGGATATAGTATTATAAACACCTCACTGTATAGGATATAGTATTATAAACACCTCACTGTATAGGATATAGTATTATAAACACCTCACTGTATAGGATATGGTATTATAAATACCTCACAGTATAGAATATGGTATTATAAACACCTCACTGTATACGATATATTAATGTAAACACCTGACTATAGAATACAATATTGTAAATACCTGTCTGTATAGAATACAATATTGTAAATACCTGTCTGTATAGAATATAATATTGTAAACACCACACTGTATAGAATACAATATATAATATTGCAAATACCTGACTGTATAGAATATAATATTGTAAATACCTGACTAAAGAATATCATATTGTAAATACCTGACTGTATAGAATATAATATTGTAAATACCTGACTGTATAGAATATACAGTAAAACCTGTCAAAACCGACCCCTGGATAAACCGACCTACTGTCAGAACCGACCGATTTATGTAGTCCCGAAATTTCTCCATAGACGCCTATGTTAAAACAACCTGTGAAATCCGACCACTGTCTACTCCGAACACCGACCGCATTGATCGGCCCCAAGTCCAATATTCACACTGAATACATCGACCATCCGACCCGTTGCACCACGTCCGCTGTCTAGTAATCCGGTCTGCCCGACCTAAAAAGTGTGCATTGTGTTGAATTTACCGTGAACGTCACAGAAACAAGTCCAAATCTCACACTACAAGTAACGTCCCGTGTAAAACAATAGCAACTGATTAAGTTTTTCACACCACACGCCATCGC